GATCTTTTTATTGGAAACTCTCATAAAAATTGCGATGTAGGCGTGGATGAAAAATGTTTCCTATCCTGATGATTGTGCAAAACTGTCGCCCAATAATAACATCATAGCTGAGACGTTGGAGTGGGCCAATTTCCCGTAGTTCCTACTTTCTTAGCTGACCTTTGGGCAGTTTCCTCTCTCAGGCAGGCGCTGTATCCAATAAGACACAAGACTTCAATGTTGACGATTTCCTGTTTCATTACGAGTAGCGATGTAAATTCAGGATACGATGGTGGTTATTCTTATTGATAATTTCCTGTACTTGAATAGAATGAAATCCGCCTCGTTATGACTAGCACTGGAGATTTGTCCATGAATGTAGTTACAGATATAATCCACGTACATATGTATGTATAGCTGAGGTGAAAGCAAGGATAGCATGCGGAGCAGTAGGCGTAGACGATGTTCCCAAAATCTACAGGAGTTCTACAGATGAGTCCAACAATATGATGCAAGAGTACAGTCGATAAAGGACGCTGTCCGTAGCGTATATGGTGTATTAAACTAGGACTCTAAAGTAAGTGTTCATTTATGTCCTTGGTCGTACAATGTTAATGTTATGATTAGTGCTTTGACGAGGAACAACCGGTTTGACGAGCCTACAGATATGAAAGATTAGTATCGGCTGAGAGCGTATGGAATTTGTGAATTTACTTCAGCCAGATGCGTCCCGAGCCGCTGTTCTCCCGGACAAGTTCCCACACGAACTCTTCATTCCCTCCAGTGGTCAGACAATCAATTAGGGTCTGCCGACCTTCCTTCGTGCCTTCGGTTTCCAACACCCATTCCCCACGCCAACCCTCTCCCAACCCATCGTCATCGGCCAATATGCTCATTCCAACACGTGCCCTCGCAACCCACATGTATTTCTTCGCTAGGGCCCATCCACTTGGCGAATGGGGACTCCGAACGCGACCCGATGTTTGAACCAGCGTCAGCTCAGGTGTACCACCGGCTCCGGGAGGAGCAAATGCGAAGTGTGGATGAACATGCGATGGAAGGAGGTGAGCGTAGTAGAAGGGAGATGGGAGGCCCAACGGATCTGTAAGAGGTGGCGGTGCAGGAGGAACAAAAGGGACAAGTGCAAACCCGTTGAAGACCAACCAGGTCTTATGAGAGGAACTCCTTTCAGGTTCCAACGACGATGACGATGAATCGGCTGATTCAGGAGTCGATGGTACATATCCGAAGTTACAAACGATGTCGCCAGTGGACAAATGGTCCCAAAGGCCACCTGCCAGAAGTTGCTCCTCGCAGGCAGTGATCGCAGCAGCTGAGAGACCATTGCAAGGGACAAATACCCGAAGAACGGGAGCACGCAATCTGGATGTTGCTGTATACAGATCGTGCGGAGAGTTTGGACTAGGAGGAACGAATGTATCCGCTGTTACGCGTCGGGTGAAGGGGGGTGACGAGGTGTGGCTAGTTGTTGACGACGCGCAAGACAATTCGGCCGATGCAGTACGTCTATGTGGACGGGTTGATAGTTTAGTAAAGTCGTCCTCGGAAGCAAATGCTGACACCCGGCAGAATGGGGCCGATTGACCTGGTAATGATCCAGGTATGACACTTCTGCGCCAACCGGCATTGTAATATTTGAGCGCACGAGGTTCAACAGGTGGTGGAGGTGGCAGCTTGCTGGCGCTGAAAATGGAAAGTTTTCGAGTTTTAGATGGGCTGGTAGAGGATGTGCCTGGGATGGACCCGGAATGAACGGCTGATAATCCAGATTGGGCACTCAATCTGACATTGCCGCCAGGCTGCTCACTGAAAGATAGCGGACTGGCGTCTCTTGGAATGCGATCCCGGTGCCCTTTGCCCGATTTCAAGCGTCTAGAGTTGAGACTCGGCCTTGATGTGCCAGCGCTTAACGGGCTCACCTCGGCTCCGTCAGGAACATATGAAAGGGGAGCAGGAAAAGTAAGCTCGCGGAGGCCATGAGGCGATGAACCTGATGCTGATGGAGGCGACGGGAAGCGAACAGGATACCGTGGCGAATCAGGTTCATGAGGTGGAGGAACCTGACAACTATGTACCAAGGCTTGGAGGAGAAGAACGAAACGAGAATGAGTGTGCGCCAGAGTGGCAAGCTTGTGCGTTGTTCGTGCATCAAACTCGCTCTCGTCAGATGATATCCGCGCGAGGCTCCCTAACGCGTGCATAGGATACTGGTGGAGCGGAATTCGCTGCGAGATCACTATAATTAAAATGGTCACCCACGTTCACGTCAGATCAGAGCTTGTAAGAAGTAAAAAAATAGCACATACACAGCAAATCAAGGTCGTGTAGTGTCACATCAACATCTTGAAATTTGTGGAGATCTCTTTGGCGCAGTGCGTGGCGGTAGCTAGGAACATAGCATGATAGAATGATGTCTCTGAGCTCGCGAATATTCCAAAGCCGCCTCATATCTGCACTTGTTGACACTAATGCATAGAAGTCTGTCCAGGGAGTGAAGCGCAATAGGCATGCTAATATGCGAGGGTTCCGAAGAGCAGCTGCACCAGATCGTTGCATGGATTTCCAGGCGCTGGTTTTGCCTCTGATCGAAGCGGTACGAGGAGCGAAATTAGTATATTGTCTGGGTTTGACGAGCCTGACGGATGATTCCAGGGGCTCGAATGTCTTCCGTTGTCCATTTGGTTGACGTTGGCGGTGGGATTTACGAGGTTCATAAGGAATTGGTGGTAGCGGTCTGTCTCCGTCGTCCGTTGTATTGTATGTATGTATAATTGCAGTATCTATGTCGAGGGGTTCACTGGATGCACTTGAAGAGTCTGAGTTTGTGAGCGAAGGAGTGCGGTCGGCATAAGGATCCATAGCAGGGAAAGTGAGCATTGCATTCGTGGGGCGTTGAGTCGTATAATAAGTACAAGAGGGAAACTATGAGTAAGGGATGATGTTATTTATTTAGCGGGGGAGTGTAGCATAATTGTAGCCTGAAGGTTAGGCTATAAGTAACCCGCAACCAGATCTCAATGCTGCCGTTCCCGATTAGGATGCGGCCCGTCATTGTACTCCGCCACGTGTTTGTATCTGTTTAGCCACCACCACTATTCACTTGGCCTCAGCCACGAGCTAGCGCTTTTCCTTGATTGATATCTTCTAACGCCTGCACATCCAATGGCACCAGCGGTAGCGTTCTAACGATTTTCAATAGTCAAATCAATCTGACACGACATTTATCTGAACAGACAGGAGAAGATCTTGAGCGCGACATCTTCGGTGACGGTTCAGAACTATCTTCAGAGGAGGATGGCATGTGGTCGCGCTAAGATTCTCACATCCTACAAACTGACCGCAGACTCTCACAGATATACCACGGCAGCGTCAGCGTCAGCAGCAGCGCGTTGTTATAAACGAAGACGCCTATGGCTCTTCAGATGAATCCAGCGACGGTTATGTCCAAGAGCGAGCCGCGAAACCAAAGCGTCGAACGAAAACGAGGCGACCTGACGACGAAGATGGAGCCCGAACTCAAAGGAAGCGCAAAAGAAAGCCACAAATCACGGAAGAAGAATTGAATGATTTACCGCCGGAGAAAGGTCAGCTCAACCAACTTTCTTACCCAGGGTGGGTACCCATCAGATTTACATGCAGCGAGTAAGCTTCGGATGGAGATGCAGCTTGATGCTATTCTCAAACCCAAAAAGGCATCTCGGCGCAAGAACAGGAAGAAGGATGCCGATGAAGAAATTCTCGACCGATTCGCAGATGAAGAAGTCTCACGCCTTCGGGAAGCTATGCTTTCTGCGGCGGCAGACGATGAACAAGCGAATCGCGAGAAACTGCCCGCAACTAATAAACTCAAACTCCTTCCCCAAGTAATGGAAGTTCTACGCAAGTATGATCTTGACAACCCACTATATTGCCGACAGCTAACCCACACGGACTATGTAGGCAGTCTCTCTCACAATCTATAATGGACAACAATCTCCTGGAAGGCGTTCGCCGATGGTTAGAGCCGTTGCCGGACCGCTCACTTCCTGCCCTCAATATTCAACGAGATTTCTTCCCGATTTTGAAAAAGATGGAGTTTATTGACAGCGCTGTTCTCAAAGAATCTGGCCTCGGACGGATCGTTTTGTTCTACTCCAAATGCAAGCGCGTGACATCGGACGTGCAACGAATTGCCAACGATCTGATTTCGACATGGTCGCGGCCGATCATCAAGCGCAGTGCATCCTATCGCGATCGCGTTATACCCACCGCACTGGAGGACCGCGCTGATGCCCATCGTGGCGGTGAGAGACTTAATGCAATTCTGGCTCGTGCGAAGGAAGGGGAGAAAAACAGGATTAAACATAACGCTGTCATGATTCCCCAAAGGGATCTTGGGAGCTATACCGTCGCACCGAAGATGAATGGTGGCGTGATGAAAACCAACGAAAGTGTGGAGAATGATGTCGAAAGGAGGAGGAAAAACGCAGAGAGATTGCGGACCCTCACAAGGAAAGTTACGATGCGAACGTGAGCCGGGAACTGTGTTTTGGTGTGAGATTCATTAGCATTTAGTTTTTACTTGTGTATATGTAAGTTCTTGTTTCAAGATCAGAGTTATTCTTATCAACTTCCCCAGTACCTGGTCCTACGACCTTCTGGCTTCTAATAATAATCGTCCGACGACAATGTTTCAATCCGCCACTGCTAGACAAATGTTGGCTATATCGGCTGTAGTATCAAGTTTTCCGACTCCCGTGCTAAACCCAGTACAACGAAAACCCTCCTGACGACCTTCCTCCACGGTCTATGGATGTAGTACACGTCAAAGCGATCAGACAGTACTATGCTCCGCGTGCAGATAGGAGAATCGGAATTTGTTCTTCAGCACTAGCTTTATAAGTAGTAGCAGTAGAGAGAAAGGTCATTTTCTTTCTCTCCTAAAAGTTCAACAGCTTCGACTATAGTGAGGGGCTAAAATTTTGCTATAGCCTTACTGCTGCAATAAATATACAAAAACATGATGAGAGTGGGATTCGAACCCACGCCCTTTCGGACCAGATTTTTGCGTGAGAAGTAATGACTAAGCCTTAGTCTGGCGCCTTAGACCGCTCGGCCATCTCACCATGTGTGGGAATCTCACATCTGATGGTCATAAATTTCATGCCTCACATTCCAATAAGAACTTTCAAATATACTGTCGAACTCAGATATCTTATCAAAACACATCCACAATAGAGCGTATTTGAACAGGATAATTTTGTTGGGAGCCATTCCAATTTGACAAAAATTAATTAAGGTTTCTATGTGTAACCTCCCAAGTGCAAGTTTCAATTGGCACGAAAACCCCAGCGAAAACTCGGGTTGGGGTAGGGTTGGAGCAAAGATTTGTGTCGCAACGTCACCACTCCAAAGTGAAATCTGCACTATTGCAGTTATCAAAAAATCGACTTTGAAGCCGTTCAAATACGCTCTATTGAGCTTTGTTTTGAATGTCAAT